ACAAATTCCCCTGAAAGATTTGCCGGTACTGCACGTCGCTAATTCCTCTCCTCTCATCCTCTCTTGAACCTGCTAGCACCATAGCAGCGTCAGCACCGTGTGCATGCTCTGGTGCTTGGTCTTTCTTGGTATTTCAGCGGCCTTTGGCACGATCGCACACGTTCGGTCTCAAGTTACAGCCTTCCCTGCACTGGGGAGCCTCATCCTTGCTTGGTTTGTGATCTCTCCACATCGACTTCCTCAGGGGTCAGGGGTTTGAGCCTGTCCCCTAGAAACCTTGCGTGAGTCAGCTTCCCACAACCATAAAAAAACAAGCCAGGCGCCGGGGGCTCACGCCTGTCACCCTAGCTACTCAGGAGGCTGAGATCTGAGGATCGCGGTTCCAAGCCAGCCCAGGCTAGAAAGTCCATGAGACTCTGATCTCCAACAAAGCACCAGAAAATTGGAGGTGGTGCTGTGGCTCAAGTGGTGGAGCGCTCACCTTGAGCTGAAGAGCTGAGGGACAGCGCCCAGGCCCAGAGTTCAGGCCCCATGACTGACAAACAGCAAACAAAAAACACCCAGGGAAAGGTTTGTTTGGGTTCGGAGTTCTGGTCTCTAACAGATTGCTTTGGGCTGTAGTGAAGGCAGGGATTTGTGGCCGGCGTGGGTGAGTGAGAAGACAGCAAAACCGGTTGTCTGGTGCCAGGAAGCCAAAGACAGAGAAAGGGACCAGGATCACACAATCCCTTCGGAGACCTAAAGTCCCACCACTGGCAATGCTACAGCTTCACTTGATTGGCCAGTTCACACACCAACTGTAGCAAGTAGATGCTACCTTCCTCAGCGTCCTCCAGCCTGTTTTTCTAGCCATGCCCCCACTCATTCTTTTAAAACTCAAGTCCTGTCACACCCATGCAGTACCTAAAGCTTTCCGCTCTTCCCCTAACTCAGGGTCGCCCGTGATGATGCTAGTTTGAGCTGATCTCGGCCACAGGCTCTTGGTGCACTGGGCTCCTGCTTTCCCCTGCCTTCCCACCGCGCGCCCTGGCGGCTCCCAGCCTACCTCCACTGCCCGCCAGCCTCGCTCAGGCCCGGCCTTGTCATTGGTTTTACCACGGACCATAAACGCAAGGTAGATTGTGCTTACTTAGTTTGACTACTCTACAGCTCTTCTGTTGGGAACTGCGGGTGATCCTCGGAATCCTGATCGTGACCAGTCGCTCTGGGAATGAAGGCGATTAGGGGAGGAAGACAAGCCCTCTCTCCGAGGTGGAAATGCAGGTAGCGAGCGGCGCGTGTCCCTCACTAACGCACGGGTGCACTGGTTCCGACTCGCACATCCTACATACCCCTGGCAGGCCTTGTTAAGCCAGCTGTCATGGGGCAGGGGAAAGCCTAGCTCAGAAGGGGTGGTGTGCAAGTGCAGAGTTTCCTCGATTAACCTTGGTCAAAGTGAGGGTAGATATGAAAACCCGTAGTCCAGCCCAGATAACTGGGCTGTCCATGGCTGAGAGGATGGAGGAGGAGGAGGAGGAGGAGGAGGAGGA